AACAGGAACAGCCCGTGTTTTACATTGGTGTTGTGCGAAAGAAACTCACAAGCATTCGGGCGTCCATTATCACGTCGCAATCAAACTTGACAAGATTCAACGATGGTTGCCGGTGAAGCGGTATTTCATGGAAACATACGGTGTTTCAGTACATTTTTCAAATGTACATGCGAACTATTACACGGCATGGCGGTATGTAACCAAAGACGATATGCACTACGAACAAAGCGAGAACCACCCAGACCTGTGTGATACTCACGAGCCGCCTACAATGCGAGCACACCAAGCACTCCAGGAGCGACGTATGGCCCGAATAAGAAGTCAGTCAGTAAACACTGAACACGGCACAGCCTGTGGAGAGCCCTCGACAGCTTCAAATGTTCAACCACCAAGATTGTTAAGAGCCGAAAAACGCAAACGCCTTTCTGCTTTCGATGTTTCGCAGATTATAATTGCAAAGAACATCCGTGATCGAACAGCCTTATTAGCCTATGCTAATGTCCAGCGACGAGTGGGAAAAACTGATTTGGTAGAATTCATTGTGAACCGGGGAACAAAAGTGATCAATGAGCTGATAAACAGTTCATGGGAGTTGGAAAACGCCGAAGCCTTGCAGAGAAGAAAACAAAAATCGCGAATGGAGATATTACGAGACGCGTGTGACGAAGAATGCAGTTGCCAGTCAGAACGAGAGTGGGAATTATGCGCGTTGGAAGTGCTACACACCAACGATATACCACCACAGCAGTTCGCTAATTGCGTAAAGCACTTACTTCAAAATGGTAGAGGTAAATACCGCAACATAATGCTGACAGGGCACACAAATTGTGGCAAAACGTTTTTACTGAAGCCACTCAACAAAATTTACCGCACATTCACGAATCCAGCAACGACAACCTATGCTTGGCTGGGGGCTGAAGAATCCGAGGTCATTTTTTTAAACGACTTCAGCATTATACGAGGGATATAAAATTTGACATGGATACACCAATTTTCTGCACAACAAAAGAGCCGATCATTTTCGTAAAGAATGGATGCATGGACCACGCCGAGACAGAAATGATGAATGTTAGATGGAGAATTTTCAACCTTAAACATCAAATTCCAGAGGAGCAGCAAAAGCAAATAGAATCCTGCTTATCGTGTTTTGCACATCTCATATTGCACAATGACGATTCACTTACATAATTATATATATTATATTAATATATATATAATATTATATATATAATATATATATATATATATTATATATATATATATTATATATATAATATATATATATATATATATATATATATATATATATAATATATATATATATATATATATATATATATAATATATATTATATATATATATTATATATATATATATATAATATATATAATTATATATATATTATAATATATTTATATATATAATATTATATATAATATATATATATATATAATATATATTATATATAATTATAATATATATATATATATTATTATATTAATATATATAATATATTATATTAATATTATATAATATATATATATATATATTATATATATATATATATATATATATATATATATATATATATATATATATTATTCGGGCACTCTACAACATATATGATTCATTTCTGTTCACTTTACCACACTTTACCAATTATTTTTAAAATAATTAATACATTCAATTTTAGTTTCAAATTCATGGTAAAGTGTGGTAAAGTGTGGTAAAGTGTTCAATCTATTTTGTTGAGTAATTAATCAGTGTATAATACGGCCATGGGCTGTCATGTGTGGGGCGTTAACTGGCTTGTAATCTTTCAAAAGTACATGTAAATAATTAGAGGTTGACATTTATTGACTATTCGCAAAGAATACATGAGTTGTTTAAGCAGTGGTTGGCACTGTAGGGATATAATGTACATATATACTGTGGAGTGTAAACCTTTATTATCAATAAAACGTTTCAGTATTTTGTACGTCTTCCATTGGTTTTAGCAATTTGTTGTAACCTTTTTGGCATCGTGGAAATGGTCTTGTCAATAAGCTCTTTAGACGTTGACCAAATATTGTACTGTACAGCCTGTTTAAACTCTTCCCAAGTCTGATGAGTAACACTGTTTGCTCGAACTTGGGCGTCGATGCGTTTTCTAACCAGATGGAAGATATTTTCAATTGGGTTTAGGTCTGGCGATCTTGGTGGAATTTTTTGCATTGTGTATCCGCACTCCGCTAACACTGCCATCGCCTTGGCTGATGTTTGGGATGGATCGTTGTCCATTACAAATATTTTCTGGTCAACTTCAGACCTGGAGACCCTCGCTTGTTTTACGCCAAATTCTACTTTTCGGTTTCATTGCGTCACTCATAGGATTCCCTTTGTAGATGAACGAGACCCCGTCCAAGTAAAACGCTACTTCTTTCGTCCAGTAATCGTCGGAATATTTACTTTTGGACCTCGCGAATTTAAGTCGTCGTTTCATGTCATTCTCGGTCAAAACACCCTTCCTTCTGCTTGGTCGAAACTTGTAACCAAATCGTTGAATTTGTCTCAAAAATGTCCGATAGTGAGCCGCATTTAGGGGTATACCACTACGCTTTACCACATCCATAATTGTAAAGTTTGGATTCATTTGGCGAAGTAAAATTACGGCCCTTTTTAACTTTCTTTTATCGCGCATGCTTAGTATTTCACGCCGTCCACGTTTCCTTGTCTCAGTTGCCCATGAAGATTTCCGTCGTTTGCCACGAACGATTCGCCACACGCTCGTCTTCGACATTTTTGCCCTCACGGCTATTTGCCTAAGTGAGTATTTTTTTTCCTGACGCAGGAATAAAGCAAATGCACACTGCTCACCCGTCAGACGTTTTCTGAATACCATGTTAAACGTATCGTTTCAGCAAATTACACGATTATGACATCATGTAATGTATGTATAATCCATATTTGGTCTATATGTCTCACATTATATAATTTCAACGGAATTAACAAATATGCATTTTCAAATGACCCAAAAACTATAGATATTGTTCCAAATAGTCTTTCATTACTCACAGACAATCATTGACAAAAATGTTGTGACGAGCCGCGCGTTACGCCACAAAATTTATCCATAACCCCCCTTACCCCCCAAGTCAATGTTGCCTGGATGAAAATGCTAGAATATATCGTGGGCAACATGTGCTATAAGGCTTCAACATAACAATTCAACATTGATTTGGGGGAAGGGGGGTTATTTGATCGACAGTACTGTCGGTAAAGTTATTTCATGTAAATTACAAGCATTTTTGTTGAACATTACAGCGAAATTTGTCAATGATTGTAGTTATATAGTTATATAGTTATATAGTTATATATATATATATAGTTATATATATTATATAGTTATATATATTATATAGTTATATATATATAGTTATATAGTTATATATATATAGTTATATATATATAGTTATATATATATAGTTATATATATAGTTATATATATAGTTATATATATATAGTTTCGGTCTTCGCGTTGTGCTGCAATTGTTGATGTTGTCATTGTTAGTTGGTTGCTCATGCTAAACATGGCTTTTATATCATAGGAATCCCAATACAGTAAATATTTTTGAAATAATAAGTAAATAGTCCAGTTACGTTACGAGGTCAGTGACGTCAGTGATCGCAAAGCATAAGATATAGTTATTGAAAAGGATGGAAACTCTTGTAATAATATAAACATACATACAAATTTCACTCGCAAAATTTCATATCAAAACAACAAGAATCTCTCAAATAAATTATCACAAATGCATTTAATAAAAATTATTAATTTCATCTTGCATTTTAGCACTTAATATGCAAAAAGATACAAATAATAAAAAGCTTTTCAAGCAAACATCAATTCGTTTCTTTGGTAAGATTTGATATTGTGTCTTGTGAGCGGTAATTTTGTAGCACTCACATGTATATAGCCTTAAAGTTATTTATATAAACACAGTGATTTGCGATTCAGTTAAATTTTGTTGAAATTAAAATACTGCAAGCCAAATAGCAGCGTAAATGTTTACTGATAACAGCCCTGTCAGTTTAAACATAAGTCTTTATGTTATAATATAAAGGACCCTACCTCATTAATGCATTATACTCTAAAGGCACTTTTCGGCTCGTTGGCTTCACACAAAATTTTCAACGCACAAATTATATATATTTTGTCCATCACCAAGTCGTCCCAACATCTTTTGAACAGTTCACTCTCAAAACATCCACAAATTGAGATGCGTGGTAAGATTAAAAGTCAAACACTCCATAAACATGAACATTTGTGTGTGCCATGATATGTGCTGGTTGCAATGACGTACAACCTCACAAAGTGGCGACTGGTGATTTTTTTTTCATCCAGCTCCAAACCAATCTTCGATGTAGAATTATATAAAAGATACAATTGCACACAAATTATACTTTACACTGATCCATAGCAAGTTTCTGATGCACCTGAAACAAAAAAAATCAATATATCGGCGAAAATACGCTTGCAATCTCACTTGCAGCACCGAAATTCGAAACTAAAAAATGTCAAAAATGAGCTCCGACAACTTTGGACACAAAAACAAATTTTAAACGGCTCCAAACCTTAAAAAACTGTCTGCTTCCATTATTACCTTGGTAAAACATGTTGGCAACTTGAATTGTCATACAAAATCGGCTAAAAAACGGATTTTTTTAGATGAAACAGCCCTTAATAAAATCCATTCTTTTTCAAACACATTGCTTTCATATAGCGTGCAGTGTGAGCATGCCTTGATTCTAATTGTAACAAATGAATAAATTATAATCAAAAGCAAGTGCGTGTCATAGTAGAAGACTGCAATAACCGAAATGCCATTCAGTGCATGAATGACACCGAACATTGCTTGCGGAATTATCACAGAATGAAATTAAGTAACACAGGGATTGGGTAGAACTCTTACAAGGTCTATGTCTTGACGTAATATATACGCCTTGGCACGAGAGTGGATATGTCCACAGCAAGTGAAAAGGCCAAACATATTGAGTAAGATAAGTCAATACTCATTAATTTAAGCACAGTTTTCTTTATTTGAGTGTATAAGTGTGGTATGTTATTCCTGCAATGATTTTTTTTATTTTTTTACGCTCAGTTTATGAGGACCACACTACTGACTGTAAATTAATAAGCGGTTCAGAAGATTAATTAACCTAACAGAAGACTAGCAAAGAACCATCGACGTAGCCTTAAGTGATCATAATTTGTGTATATTTGGCCGTGCTGAAGTTGGGAAGACTACAGTAATTAAGAGAATGAAAGTCCTGTCTGTTTCCTGTGATGCCTATGACGGTGCTGTGTCGACGATTTATTCCCATTATGGATTGCAAACAGCAGAATTGCTATTCGATTTAATCATAGAAAAACACAATTGCGCAAATTAGTGGTGTGAATGTACTCATCTGGGATGAAATTTCTATGACTAGTCAACGACTTTTTGAATTGGTTAATGCTTTGCACAATCGTTTATTGGACAACACCTATGCATTCAGAGGAATTCAAGTTATATTGGTTGACAATTTTCGGCAGTTAAAACCAGTAAGGAATCTATTAGACAAAGGAGACCTGATATACGAATCAAAACTCTTCGGTGTTTCCTCACAGAATAGAACTGCCAAAGATTTTCAGGCAACATGACTCGGAGTGCAACTTACGAACTGCGTTGGATAAGTTACGAGCAGGTGAGTGGGATGACGACATGGAACAGTATTTCAATTCTTTAAGTAGAGACTTGGGGATGGTGAGGGAGGAAGAACAGCCGCTGCACCTTTACTTTAGGAAGCTACCAGTAGAGATTCACAACCAAGACATTCTGTCATGCCTACCTGGCCCGTTGTTGAGATTTGAAAACAGAGATGGTGGACATCCCAAGTTACTCGAAAATTCTATCAATAAAGTGTTATCCCTGAAAGCCGGTTGCAAAGTTATGTTACTCTTTAGCATCAATAATAACTTGAAGAATGGAAACCAGGGAATATTTCATGGTATAAATTCTGAAAGTGCAAATGGTGAAGATCAACTTCTTGTCACCTTCCTGAGGAGATGAACAGTTAAGATTGAGCAGTAGACATGGAGCAGATACCATTCCAACGGTTCTGTGATTGGAACTAGGACGCAGTTCCCACTAACAACATGTTATGCAATGACAGTGCACAAGGCCCAAGGTCTTACCCTTGATTCATTAGTCGTTCATTGCGCACAAGAGTTTGTACCAGACCAAACTAGCTTTGTCGCGAGTGAAAAAATTTTTAAAACGTCCTCACATACTATCGTTAGATATTGGTCAGCACATGATTAACTATACAAATCACTTTTGTGATAGTACTAATTGTTAATCATCCTAAGAATCATTGTTTTAAAAATGTGTTACTTATCCCCCATCCTATGATAAACAACCTCATGCATATCGTCATTCAGTTCTACATTTTCTGAAGATTGTAAAGCATGTGCATAGAGCCTAGAAATGACTTTATCTATTCCTTCCCTAGTTAGTTTTTGCATGATTTCAGAAGGGATTATCACATACAGAAGTCTTTCGCCCACAGGAAGTCGTTGCTTGTAAGAAAGGAGAAATTGCGCAAGAAACAGATGAAAGTTCAATTATCCATGATTAGTCATGACAGGAGCCCCGGGAAGAAGTTTTCACACAATCGTGTCAGTATACAAGAAGGAGCTTCAATTATTATGCAAAAGGCTTTGGAGTTACATTTCTTTTGAAATGGAACAAAAAGAAACTAGCTTCTGCACACATAGCAAAAATTAATGAACACGAATACACGCCACATCACGAAGAGACTTAATTTTATTCTGTCAAAATTGTCAATGATTCTCCGAGTACCAACAAAATTCCAATTTTGAGAGTTTTTTGAGTTTGATGTTGCACATACATGCAGTTAAAAATATGGATACACTTAGATCATGATGGTCGTGAATTAAAGACATTTAAACGCTTTTTCCTTTTGTTTATGTGTTTGATGAAAAGTCTGAAAACTTTCTAATAATGTTCTTGTGTAGAACAGTTAGTCTGACAAAAGCTTGGAGAAGAAAGTATAGTAAATTTTAAACAATGTTGTATGTAATGTTTAATCATAAAATGGATTTCTATTTACCAACGATTCATAGTTGCTGTAACCACGTTTTTTAATTCATGCACATGCATGATCAAAATAAACAAATTATCCATCATATTAACATAACATTGTGTTTAGCATATTTTCCATCAAGTTATTAGTATATCCTGCAAGGAGAAAATGATGTCGTTATTTACAACCAATGTGTAATTTAGTTTTACAATTTTATTTATTTACTTTTTGTGTAAGGAAAAGTCCGGATGTTTTAGCCTTGTTTTCTGTGCATTTTCTGCAAAAAATATGATCTTTTGGCAAATTGGTTAAAAAGTGTTCTTTTCGACTCCTGTGTTACACTTTTGGCATATTGTTGCTTGACCCAATATCACCGAATTTTGTGTTGCCTGTACAAGTCGATAAGAGGGATTATCGTTTTCCCCGTTGGCGCCGAGGAATTGACAGAAGTGATTCTCTAAAGCATCCTGGTTGACAATTGCAGGCTTGATAAAGAATCCTGGGAATTGTGTGAGTTTAATCTTTACCAGTGACGTGAAGCCCTTGATTGGATGTCAAACCAAAGCTTGTACAAGATGAACTCTGATTCGTCTGACATGCTCTCTTTCCATTTTGAAAAATATTGAAGGACACAAAGGAACTTTGATAATCTACAGTACCCAATGTCGTAAATGATGTGCTTATCCGTAAATAGTTAAACAACAAAACTGTTGTGCTCCAGAAATTCAATTGGCATTTAATCTGTCTGCTGCCTTGTGGTTAATGGAAGAAAGGTGGTTTTGATACGCCTGAATGAAGCAAAATTAATTTAATCAACTAATTTACTCATGACTAAATCATTGCAATTTTGTGTGGATGCATGGACATAGAAAGTATCATAGTTTCCCTGTACCTTCATCAGTATCAACATTTTTCTGTCTAAGACATCCTCAGCCAGACTGTTTCGCATTCGCAAATTAGGATTTAGTTGAAAGTGATCTTTCGTTAACTTTTCGTGCATTGGACATGAATTATTTCATTGATCCCATGCGTAGGCATCCTTCCAATAGGACCAAAAAATATTTTGACCACCTACTGTCAACTTTCTTGCTGACCCGCAAGTTGCACTCCTTTCAATGTTATTTCGGATCTTTTTCACGTTGTGCTGCAATGAAAAGGTGTAGACTTAACAAAATGTGAATAAAAATGCACAACGAAGTTAAAGAAATATGAGCAGGTCTTTACCTTCCAATCCATTGTGAAAACCACCGGATCTTCGGTTAGTATGTTATAGCAGATGAAATGCAAATCAGCAAGCTCACAACCCTCAAAGTTTATCTTGATAAATTGTTGGTTCGATTCTCTTCTGTCACATAAAAGAAGGTATATTCTAAAAGAAAAATGGAATTTCTTATATTGGTTGCCGTACTAGAAATATAGCTCAACATACATACTGTATCCTTTCATGCCAACCTGAATCCTCTCCTGCGCAAATGCAACACACCTTCCCAAAATTGAAGGTACAACATGATGGGGGACATTCTACAGTTGGAAAGTGTGCCAAAAAAGGAAAGCAAAATCCTCTGTTGCTTAAGAATTGAAATTGGAGCAGATGTGATGCTACTTGAACACATGATTAAAATGTATGATATTAGAAATAATGTCAAAAACATCAAGCATCTGTTCCCCACCGTCTAAGATATGAAATGAACTAATACCGCATGCATGTATTTAACTTCATATATTCTATTGATGCAAAACTATACTTTCAGCTTTAATTTTGCACATATCGTCACAGTAGCTCCCCAGAGACACAACACCTGTTAGCTGGTGACGTCCGCCCTTCACTGTCATTTGCAAATCTTCCTGCATAAATAATTTTTAAAATGTACAGTTCCTGCACTCATTTAGATGTCAAATGTATACAGGAACACATGCAGTTACCTGCAGTTTCATCTCATCTATTAGTAAGCCTCCCCAGTATTCTTGCAGTTTCAATTCCTAATGGTTAGCTTCCCTAGCACACCAGTCCATTACTGCCTCGTTCCATCCAGATTCTTGAGTGACAGAGTTTTTATAATATCTAAAATAATTATTAACATTCATCTACACTGGACTACATAGTGTAAACTGAGAAGGGTAACGTTTACATGTATGCACATACCTAATCAGGCGGTTACTTGGTAGAATGATGAATTCCCTTATCATGTCCAACACTTTAGGACTTTTGCAATAAACGTTTAATGCCATTCTTACTATGCTATAAATTTAAAGTATGGAAAAGAATTTTGAAAATATGGAAATTAAATTTGCTAAAATCAACTGCAATTAATCAAAAATATTTTTAGAAACATGGCTAATAACTGGTGGTATTTAATTTTAATATCTCGAGTAAATTGTACTGTGGATCCCAACGATAACCACGCGACGATTTTGTTTTTTCTGCATCTCCCATACCAATTTCATGCTTAAAGGAACGTCATCTGTATCGATTCCTTGAACAATTTTTACCAAATCTGAGCTATCATCCTTCATGAATTCCAGCGTTGCCAAATTTCTTGCACATCCCGATTCCTTTTTAACCTCATTCCGGATTTCTTTTTTTTGAGATGCAATTTTTTCTTCCAATCCATTTCTATCTAGCAACCTGTTGTTGCATTTTTTCGGCACGGTACAGATTGGGTTTGATGCCTTTTGTTTCCAATCCCTGGATCTGAACAATACCATTGCCTTACCACAGGATGGGCAGGATTTACCACTAATATTAACGAGAAGGGAAGAGCTTGAAACTAATCAAAGGTGGTGTCTACTTTCTTTTAAAGTTGCAGAAATGACATTAGACCCGCAAACAGAGACTTTGAGGGGTGTTGACTCGTTCTTAGGAATTTCTCAACTGTTTCGTAATTTTAGGTTGGCGTATCTCGACGTCCGCTTTTCGTACCACCTTTCCCTCCAGATTCTTTTAACAAGTTTGCCAAACAAATTTGTGCTCAACTCTAGCCCAACTTGAACGATATTCTCCTGTATAACGTTCAAAGGCAAATTCGAACTTTCATCATATTCGTGATTTGAAAGGATCCTAAAGAGGTAAAAAAATATTATATTAACACGAGACATAGACCTTGTAAGAGTTCTACCGAATCCCTGTGTTACTTAATCATTTCATTCTGTGATAATTTCGCTGTTATCAGTAAACGTTTATGCTGCTATTTGTCTCGCGGTATTTTAATATAAACTAAATTGAACTGAATCGCAAATCATTGTGTTTATATAAATAACTTTAAGGCTATGTACATATGAGCGCTACAAAACTACCGCTCACGAAACACAATATCAAAACTTATCAAAGAAACAAATTGATGTTCCCTTGAAATGTTTGTAGCTTTTTATTATTTGTATCTTTTTGCATATTAAGTACTAAAATGCAAGATGAAATTAATAATTTTTATTTAAATATGAATAAATCTAGGCAGATGTAAATACGCACCTGTTAACCTTTGCAGTCTTCTTAAACTACTAGTCCATTTTCTGCATTTTAAAACATTTGCATAAAAAGGATTTTATAAATTTACAACAGGTATTTATACAAACTTTTTCCACTTGCCTTAAACTTTAACTTTGCCTCCCGGATGCTTGACAAGCACACATTGTGTATTTCTTTTTTTGACCAATCAGATTCGTTCCTCAAACCGCATTTTATGTCTCACATGGTCCCACGATATTTTTCAGCAAATAGGCAAAAGTTTTCTACATTTTTTGTACATTTTCATTTGTTTTTAAAATATTTTTAATGGAATAATGTTTTTGGAGTATCTAAAAGGTATTTGTGATAATTTATTTGAGGGATTCTTGTTGTTTTGATATGAAATATTGCGAGTGAAATTTGTATGTATGTTTATATTATTACAAGAGTTTCCATCCTTCTCAATAACTATATCTTATGCTTTGCGATCACTGACGTCACTGAACTCGCAATGTAACTGGACTATTTACTTATTATATTAAAAAATATTTACTGTATTGGGATTCCTATGTTTATATATGTAACAAATATCTGTCAAAGTGCACTTTTTTAGAAAAGTAACTCCTAATTTGATACATGATTCATTAGACTTCTTCATCACTTTTATCCACATCTTGACTGCACAAATTCTGCTGTAATGAGACTAATGATCTTGAATGACCCATCTCATTTGCATAACAGAAATGACCAGTTTAAGACCATATAAGTAAGTAG